TTTTTTTTTTTCGATCATCGGGTAAAAGATAGTGGAGGAGGTGATTATGTATATTCTTTTTCGTCCTTTTACTTTTAGAACGAGTATACCAAATTTCAACCAGAACCAAAGAAGATCTATGATTGCATCATCACTTATTCTAGTAGATTTAGTAGTGAGTGATTATGTATATAATCTCACCTTTAGATTTATAAATATAAATGTTGCACCATTCTCATTAATAGTACACATCAATCTAATGAAAATGACATTTTAAATAAAGGAAAAAAGAAAAATCAAAATATCTTAATATTAAAAATGTTGAAATATTTAATAATAATTACATGATACATTTGATAAAATTATAATTTATATTATACTCTATACATTAAATGATTGTAATTGAACGTTATGATATTTTTAATATCAAAATGTTTTGATTTTCTCTTTTCTTTTAAATAAACCTCTTTATTAATTAGGCTAGTCCTAACTTCTAAAATAGATAAAGTAGCATATTAACATACTAATGGCCAATATATATATATATATATATATATATTATCATAGCATACAAATTGAAAATTTCATAATAGTAAAGGGACTTATATTGAAAGTTTAAGAAATCGTAGATCAGGTATCAATAATATAAATAATCGAAATCGCTCGTAAAAAACGTCTCCGTTTTGATATTTCCCTCCACATTTAACCGTTCTAAACAAAGACAAACCCTAGCCCCCAACCAGAACTCCCGCTGCCTCCGTCTCTCGCATCACCGCCGTCAGTCGGCGAGAGTGGCCAGGACCGACAATGTTTGAAGACGGATTCCCGGCGTGCAAGCTGTTCAGCCAAGGCTACTCCTACAGCTATGATGATGTCATCTTCCTTCCCCATTACATCGATTTCCCCACTGAGGCCGTTTCCCTCGCCACCAGCCTCTCCCGCAACGTCCGCCTCTCCATCCCCTGTGTCTTCTCCCCCATGGATACTGTCTCTGAGGCCCACATGGCCGCTGCCATGGCTGCCCTTGGCGGCATCGCTTTCGTCCATTCAACTGTTCAGCCATGCAGCAGGCATCCATTATCGGCTCCGCCAAGTTGCTCCGTGTCCCCATAGCTCCCACCGTCGGATTTGTTGAGCCTGATGTTGCAGGTCGCTCTGGTGCTGCTGATGGAAACTATGTTTTCGTCACAGAGTCAGGTAAAAAATAGGGCGGCTGCTTGTAATCGGGATGTGAATATTTTGATATGAAAGTTATGGGCTATTTTTCTTTTTTAGTAATTCTCTGATGAAACAAATACTCTGCCATCAAGGCTGTTGGGGTATGTTAGCAAAATCTGACTGGGAGGAGTTAAAGGACAAAGATGTGAAAATCTCTGATTACATGCGTGATTGTACGAATGTGGAGAATGTTCGTGGAATTATGATTTGGGGAAAATTGAGGCGGTTTTGGTGGATAAAAAGAGTGATTTTGTGGTTCTAGAGAGGGACGGTGAGGTGGTCAATGTAGTGATGAAGGATGATGTGGATAGGCTAAAAGGGTTTCCAAAGTTGGGGGTGGGAACAGTGGGGTCTGACAGCGAGTGGATGGTTGGGGCAGCTATAGGGACAAGGGAGTCAGATAAAGAGAGTTTGGAGCTCTTGGTTAAGGCAGGGTTGAATGTAGTGGTATTAGATAGTTCTCAAGGGAATTCTATATATCAGATTGAGATGATCAGGTGCATTAAAAGGACATATCCAGAGTTAGATGTGATTGGTGGAAATGTGGTGACAATGTATCAAGCGCAGAATTTGATTCAGGCAGCTGTAGATGGGTTGAGAGTTGGGATGGGATCTGGGTCTATTTGCACCACACAGGAGGTTTGTGCTGTTGGCAGAGTCGCAGAGGACAGGTAAATGATCATATGGCAGCATGAGACTTCACTAAAATTCTTAGCAAGTAAATCTTTTAGCGCTTCAAAGTGTGAAGCATTACTTTCTTATTTTGTCACTGTTATATCTGGGTTATTTAACAACACAGTAAAAGGTAGTTGTCTTTTGTTATTACTACTAATAAAAGTTTTTTTTGTTTATGGAAACTCTGTGTTGGGGCATAAGATTCATATATATCAGAAACCAAATACTAAGACTGCCTTTCACGGTAATGGATTCCATTTAATTTTGATAGTGAATATGACAAGTTTCAGAAGTTTTAGCTGGACCTAATACCATGGGGAAATATCAAGAATAACCTATCTTTTTTTTCCCAATCTGAATAATCTTAACCTGTCAATATCATTTAATAATGGATGTTTCCAACAGTGTATTTGCCCAAAATCTCTTTTTTCAGGCAACTGCTGTTTACAAAGTATCATCAATTGCCTCAAAACACGGTGTGCCTGTGATTGCTGATGGTGGCATTTCGAACTCTGGTCACATTGTGAAGGCTTTAACCTTGGGGGCCTCTACTGTAATGATGGGAAGCTTCTTGGCTGGAAGTATTGAGGCTCCTGGAGCTTATGCATATCATGTATAATGAGTGCTTTTTAAGACTGTGTAGAAGGGTGCAATCCTTTTTCTTTTTTATTTTTACTTTTATGGAGTACTTATTTGAGATTCTGATTAGATTATAAAAGAAATCATTGGTTAGATTTTGGTAGAGCTTTGTATTCCCCTTCTCATGAAGGACTTCAGTGGGAGCATATATGGTTCTTGGAATCTGAGTTTCTCTATTGACTTTTATTCTGATGTTGATTATAAAAGCAATAAAATATAAAGTTTGCAGCCATGGCCAGCACTGTTTCATATTTTTTGTTGCTCACTATTGATAACACCTGTACTTGCTCTTTTCTGAAATACTGAACTTGATTTGCATAGCTTTTAAATCTTGCTGCTGGATACACCCTTTTTATTTATAGATTGATTTTTTTTGAAAGACAAAAGTTAATAGTGTTTTCACTTCTTCCCTAGCCTGTGTTCTTGTTTAAGTGAAAGAACTTGATTTACATAGCCAATTGTAAACCTTGCAGTTGGTAGACTGTACACCTGCCCTTGTATTTGTAAATTGTTCTTTTTTTTTGCTGGAAAATAAAGTTAGTGCATAGCTGTTGCAGGCATTCAAACATGGGAAAGCTGGATGCTGATCTTTTTTAATTTTGTCATTTTTTTTTTCAGTTTCGCATTGACTATCTTACATTGTGATTCTGTCACATCATTTACTAATTTAAAATAAAATGAGTTCCCTTTCTCTTGTATATTTGCTTACCTTACCTTGAAAGAGTCCTTCTCAGTACTATGAATTCTGAACTTTTTCTCCACCAGAATGGTCGTTGTGTCAAAAAATATCATGGTATGGGCTCTCTAGAAGCAATGACTAAGGGGAGTGATGCAAGATACTTTGGTGATACTGCTATTTTGAAGATTGCTCAGGGACAGGGGGTTGTTGGAACAGTAGCAGATAAAGGTTCTGTCCTGAAGTTTATACCTTACACAATGCAAGCAGTCAAGTAAGGTTTCCAGGATCTTGGTGCTTCCTCTCTGCCTGCTGCACATGAACTTTTAAGATCAAGCACACTGAGGCTAGAGGTACTCCTCTTAATCTCTCATTGTTATCTTAGTTTGGTTACGAAACAACAGGATGAGGGGTCTGTGCAGGGCTAGGGGGGAAAAGGTTGTGTCTTGTTACTCATTTGCTGCATTCAATTAAGCAGTTTATGATTATATATAGGTCCGAACTGGTGCAGCACAAGTTGAAGGTGGAGTCCATGGACTGGTTTCATATGAAAAGAAACACTTTTGATCTTTCAATAGTCCAGTAATCTAATCTTAAGCTGCTGGCTGCTGCTGGCTGCTGCTGGCTGCTGCTGGCTGCTGCTGGCTGCTGCTGGCTGCTGCTGGCTGCTGCTTGCTGCATTGTGAATTTTTATTCATGGTTCAAGCAACAAATGATGTTTAGAAGTTGAAACCTTTTCCAGAAATACGCATCCAATCAGGGGAACTGGGGATGATGGCTGAAAGCCAAGGATGCAAACCAGTTATCTGGGAAGGTAATCGTATTTTTTCCCTGGGTCGAAGGTTCCCTGCTCTGTTGTCTCCACAAGTAAAGTGCATCTATCTGTTGAATCATATATTCATTATTCGTCTCGTATTTGATGAATGCGAGCGGACAAAGTGATTCTTAACCTTATGATTTTTTCTGTTTTTCAAAGTTATATGGTTGACAGTTCCAAATCGTAATAATTAGTTCCTTTTTATAGGGTGAGAATTTGTTAAGGCTGTGTTTGGTTAAGGAAGAGGGGAGAGTAGACAATTACTTTATTTGATTATAAAAAAAAAATTGGAGAGAATGAGAGAGAAGTCTTCTATTTTATTTTTTACTTTTAATTCCTTTAATTCTTTTTAACTTTTTAAAATGAAGGGAGGGGTCAATTTCCAATAAAAGTTATAAGACCATATATATGAGTATGGTCATGGCCACTATCATTTTTGTTGGGGTCATTAAATCACTTAAAATTTTAATTTAATTTAATTGTTAAAAATAATTACTGACGACTTAAATAATTCAGTGATAATTTTTTTTTATTGAAAGTAAGAGGTCCTGATTTTCAATCGTATAATATATGTTTTAAGTTTAAATTGGATAGCATATGTTTTGAGTTTGACTTATATGACATGTCTGTTTATTGAAATAAAAGAGAAAAGAGGGTTGTTTACTATTGTATAATTAACATAAAAATAATGCTAAAAATAATTAATAATTAATAAAATAATTAATATTTATTATTTTACTGTTCAAAATCAACTTATAAATAAATATTTTTAAATACCATAATTAGTGTTACTTATGAAAAAATATAAACTTATAAAATTACAAAAAAAATTTATAATATTAACAAATTTATTAATCGCTATAACCTCAACTCATGTATATCAACATATATTCCGTGGCATGTGGTACATAACATAAACCGATCCAAATGCATCAAAGTCGACTTTTTTTCCCTATTCATCATCAGTATGATTTCATCTATGAATTAATGTTCAAAACTCATTGCAATCATGCTTTTGATTGCAGAAATGCAGCTCCCTAGAAAAGTGCTAGTATCTTTTACTTCCATATAAGCTTCAGTCTAAAATTTCATAATTAAAGCAGTTTCTCTGTCAACTGGGGATCTGCATCAATGGCAGGGCAAAAAATCACCGTCCCAGGAGCATACCTATCCTGCTAAGGGTGCTAGAAAATTATAATTATTCATAGAAAATTAGAAATCACGGGAGTACATACATCCACAATTTCTGTTTGTTTGTTGATGGAGAAAAGATATTGAACTTGCATTGAGTCAATACTGAAATTACAGGTTTAAGCTCCGTTTACTATAATTTTGATCTTTTGGTTTTTAGTTTTTATTTTTATTTTTTATATTTTGCAACTATTACTATATTTAGAAATTAGAATTTATTATAAACACTAAAATTTATTAAATTTAATCTAAATATAGTATTATTTACTGAATATATAAAAAAAGAAAACAAAAAATCAAAAATCAAAACCACACTGCCTTAAGTTCACTGATGTATGGTTTTAGCACAATTCAATTCACCAAAAGTATCATAATAGTCACTTGCTATCTATTAACAATATGTTTTCCATTTTAAATGTTAACACCAAAAAGTACATCGATTGCCAGGATAGTGCTCTCACTTAGTGTCCTCCAGGGTTTCTGTTCCATGACAGATAAGTTGGATCTCCAAGTCGCCTGAAAAAGTATATAATGACATCAGACAAACCAAATACAAATTGCTTGACAGTCAGATAACTCCATTTCCAGCAAATAAACAAGATACATGGCTGGATTTGATTCTAGTGAAGCCACAGGGATTCCACAATCAAATCCCATGACCAAATCATTTCAAAACTGTATACAAATGGAATAAATTGGACTTATTTCACCTATCACTTTAACCAAGTCTCTTGAGTGTTAGGACAGCAGAAGGCATAAATCTGTGTTCCCTAGTTATATTCCCTATATCCTTTGTAGAGTAAGCTGAATGGAATAAAAAAAATGTGCCCTAATGAGGTAACAAGAATGTTTCATGTCAAAAAACATTACCTTGGCTTGATGAGATAGATAATAGTGAAAGAAAAAGCCAAAAAGAGGCACAGCCCACCAACAGTAAGATATGCAATGCCAAGGAAGTCATTCTTTCCACCAAGCCAGCTAGTTGTTGAAAGGACAAGCTTCTTTTTGCCATTGAAACTGTATGTGTTGTAGGAGTTTTCCAAAGTGACATTTATGACATCACCTGGCTGAAGATCCACCTCTATCTTCCCATACAACTTTCTGAAAGTTGGCAGGGCAGCAGTACGCATCCAAACAATGAGGTCTTCCTGCTCACTTAACTGCCATGGAAAACATATTTCACAAAGTTAGCCTATTGCACTAAGATCATGGAAAATTCCAAACATAAAAAACTTGACAAAAAGGGATGTCATTTCAATCATTAGGCATCAGCATCACATGCTCTAATCAAATGTAAAAATTGGGAGATGCGATTAAGTGGTTAGAAACACTAGATGAATGTAGATGCAACATTAACTGGATCAAACAACGGAATCTCCAGCAATTGATTTTCCTTTGAAACAGCACAGACATTCCATTTATTTACCAGATTTCTATCATCATACAAAATAAACAACTTAAAAATATATTCAGTAATTAACAGTGATAACTTACTGGTATAGAAGCATCAAGTGATTTACCACCAATCAAGCTCCCATTTTGAAAGTTTTGAGGATAAACGTCTTTGCCAAACTTGTGGTCTCTATCACTCTTCCATGAGATACCCTTCTTGTTCACTTCCAATTGTGTGTTGGTACGGGAGAAACTATAGGTGTCATTGAACAAACTCCAGGCTATGAGACCACAAGGCACAATTGCGTTTGTGCCATCTGTATAGGCTTCAGGGCTACAACTGCTTATGTCACTTGTACTACTTCCATCTATCAATTGCTGATCATTTCTACTCTTTACATACCTGAATCAGGCAAGCCATCGCTAAACTTTATGCCAAAAAATCACTGAAAGTGGACTTATTTCCATTCATATTGCATTTAAACCAGGAGGAACCATCCATTGAAATAGAAGTGGGAGAAACAAATAAAGGACATGCATAGCCATGGCCCATGGCATGCTAATTCATTTTGGAACTGACTGCATTAGATTCAATGACAAAGGTGAATGAAACACACCTGCGATGATTCTGGTAAAAGTTGTCCAGCTGGTAATAGACATAGATTGGCTGCTTCATGAGCTTTATTACCTTGCAACAACAAGAAACAAAAAAAGAATTGATGCCTTTATTTTCCATGTAATACCAGGAATTAAATGCTAATCAGTTTTCTCTATTCAATCTCGTCTATAAAACCAAAGACAAGACGGTTTATCTTATAGGCAATGGTAATAGCCCAAATTTGGATCTGATGATATTTGGAATCATTCTTGCTTGAGGTACACTATATTTTGTAAATTTATCATCACTCCGTAAATTGAAAAAGTAAGATATTCAATAAAAAGCAAAATAAAAGCAAATTAAAAATACACTTATTAAAAAGCAAAATAAAAACAAGGTAGAAGTATGCTTCTTATAGAACGGATCAATAAGAAAAAATAAAATCTTGATTTAAACATTTGTTATCATATCATTGTTATAACAATTCTTGCAGAAGAAATTTACCTGCAATGTTTTGTTGCATGTCTTGTCTATGTCAGCATTTTGTATGTACCCAACTGGGTCATTTTGGTAGTTTTGTGGTATACAATCACTATCATAGCGGCTAACAATTTCAACAACCTGATAAGAAGGAAGAGATTTTGAAGCTAATTACAAATGATACTGAAAAACAAAAAAATGTAAGATCTGTAGAAGTCCTCAGCATACATCTTGAGAAGCAAACAAGGAAACAACTCCAATCGGAATGAAGACAATGCCAACAAGCAGAAAGGCTAAAATCACCTACAGAAACAGAAAAGAGTTGTCCAAATAAAAATTCCTGCACTGCACTAATGATTGCTAAGGACAAAGGCTGCAAACATTATAGATCACAACAGCTTACCCATCGAGGAGTGAGAATTGGCTTGCAAGCCGGGAGCTCCTGCTGGGTAAACCTTGAATCTGTAAAGAAGTAACAGTAATAACAAAAGTTAATTATTTCTTAGTCTACAAACAACTTGTGAAGATCTAGAGGTTCCACAAACACATGCTCTCATTATGGATGATTCACAATCACTTAATTTATGTTTCATGCTTCTCAAATTCAATTCAAGTAACAATTGTCAAACATGAATTTACATCTGGGTAATAAAAATTGATTATATGTATCACATAAACTGCATCTGGGTGCTTGTGCATCAAAGTCAAAATCCCACCTTTAAACAAATTCAAGTTCTAATTGGAATATACGCTCCCAGATATAAAGAAATATAAGACAGATTATAATTAACAGGAGTGCCTTAATTAAGTAAAGCCAACTAAAAGTTCACGGTGGAAAAAACAACTGGGTGATCCAAAGACGGTACCAGAAACTGTTGAAATAACAAAAAGAACAGCAAGTAGAAGAAGAGATTACATTTGGGGCGTTTTGAAATCCTCCTTGGAGCTGCAGAATCACCGGATCCAGCACCGTCGATGCTTGATGATGCAGTATTTGAACTCATCTGAATAAGTCAGTTACTTTCTTCTTCTCCACAGACAAAGTTATGTGCCTCCAAAAATTCAATGAAACAGAGAAAACCAACAACAAAAGAAGAGGAAGATACGACTCTGGCGAGGATCAATATTGATCAACCAAAATTAAAGCAAATTTAACGGATTATGATCGAAAAGAAACATCGCAGAAAGAGAAAATTTAGAGAGAGGAAGTTCGATGTTGACTTTGAAGAGAGAAAGGTCAGAGAACCTGCCTCAAATGGAGATGGCGGCAAGTCTCCGGAGAGATTTTTTTTTTTTTTTAATAATTTTACAGCTAAATGGAATGGTCAAAGCAAGACCAGGCAAATTTAAAAAAAAAAAAAGAAGAACAACACGAAGAAGATATCGGCACGGCTACGAGTTGAACCTCCTCGGGTTTTATTTTCCCTTTGATTTTTTTTAGTAGTTTTATTTTTCATTATAACAAATTAAAATTTATAAATTACGTAATTAGAGCAGGAAAATAATTGTGATGTATGATTGTGACGTTCGGCAGCCTTTAAAAATAAAATTGTTTCAAGTTCTACACAAATCGTTTTTTTTTTTTTAAGTAATTTTTAAACTCTAATTTAGAGCTAAAATTTATAGCTTGCTTTTTTTTTTTAATACATTGAAAAATTACCTGTTATGCAGATTTGCATTCTTATTTTTTTTTTATCTTAATTCTATATTTACATTAAATAGAATAAAAAAAATAAGAAAGAAAAAGTTTTTCTTAATCACTTAAATTATAAT